AGATACGACTCATGGTTTAAAATCAATTATGCAAGATATAAACAAATAAATGACTCAGGCATGCTTGGAAGATGGAATACGAAACACCCTAGTTAATTTCTCATAGAAAATGAAAAATGGCTCAGATTAATTATTGGATTACTTTTACATGCAACCTTATTTTTCATTTTTCTGTTTCCACACCGATAAGAGTTTACCATTTTTTGTAAAGGTATCCACAAATTAAATAAGCTTCATGCAGAGTAATTAATGGGATTGTGACTAGTGCTTTTTTGGTATAACAAATGTTCTTAATTGAAATAAAAAAAAACTTACTACTTTGATTCACTTCTTAATTACAAATTTTAAATATCTATAATATTAAAGCAAATATCATATACGTATGCCACATATATAGCCAGTCACAAATTTCTGTTCTCTCAGAACTTTCTTTTTCCGTATAAAACTGAGAATTGATAAGAGTCCTTGCAGTTATATATGGTAATTAATTAAGGGACTATGGCAAACATGATACTCAGCATATTTTTTCATCAGAGTTAATTTGATTCTAGTCATAGGTTAAACAACAGAAAAGTTTAGCAATCTATAATAAGTGAAGACTGTTAATCGATGATGACCATTTTTCTTCTTCTTATAAAAATGACATGACCTTGATGTCAATGGCTCAATATATAATCTTTTAAGACAAAGTCTGATTTCGGCTGTAATGGCATAGCAAGACTTTTTTTCGGCTGTCATGGCTTTAATTTCAAAGCTGCCTGATCTCATAGAATATTATATACTGCATACAAAATTTACTTCTGAGTGTATCCTAACAATGATGAAGAATGGCATGGCGTCCAGCATTGTCAACAACTTAAAATTTAAGCATTAATTTCGAAGGTGGTTAAATAAGTGAAATAGTCAGCCTCAATTTTAAAATTATTATTTACAGAGATGATATGGTGATCATGGATATTAAAAAATTGGACCTAAATTAAAAAAATTAACTCTTAAGAAGAGAATCGTTTAAATTTTATAAGAAGTATTTTAATAATATTTTAAACTGGTAGGAGACATTTTCACACATTTTTTATATTCAAAATTGGATATACAATGAATTAACAAGTATAATTTGCAAAGTAGACATATGCATATAATTTAACATTCAAATTGGATAAGCCTGGATAGTCTATTAAAAAATTAGACCAAACAAATTTAAAAAATTAACGCATGGAGAGAATTGTTTATATATATAAAGACCATATTCTTATCTGATAGTAAATATCTTAAAAATGGTGCAATGTAATATGAATTTTAATTTAAACCATGCGTTGTTTATGTTCCTCTGAGATGTTAAATCTACTTCTTGCAAGTATCAACAAGTCGTCATTTGGAGAATGAATCAGGTGAAATCTGCTTAGCTCCGGTCATGTTTGGCTTGGTCAATGGGCTTTGGTTGAATTATTCTTGGGAGTGATTATCAAGCGTGCGAGCGTATCAATGATATCATATTCTCGTCAGAAGAATCAGTCTCCGGTTATTTTCCGTCTTATGGGTATTAGTGTTGTGTTTTCAAACTAATCAGTTACAAATTCCATTTTGATGTATGAAATGTGAAATTCTTACTGGAAGATATTTACTTATTATTATTCTACTGAAGAAGGAAACGTCCATATATAGTTCACTGGTGTAACCTTTCATACCATATCATCTAATATATATATATATAATAAAATTGAGGCTCTTTCTTAATTTGATTTTTACGTGAACCGTTTTAAAAAATCATTACCCTTTAGATATTGTTACTACGTGGTCCGATACAAAAGCATTGAGAGGCCAAGTCAATCTAAGTAGCAGTGTTTGGATTAATAAGAACCTATCTTGTGGTGATCTCGATCACCTCACCCCCATGCTTAGTTAATTGACTCCGGAGGACTCAGGGAGAAAATCAATTGTGATAGGAGAATCTACTCAATTAGGTGCATGTTTAGGATCATGCAGCATTTATCAATATTTTTTAGTTAGAGGCTCTTTGAAGTTTAATCAGTGGCCTGGGCCTAATATTTGTTGGGTTGTTCAAGTCAGAGACCCATAAAGCCCAACAACAATGTCAACTTTTCTAAATATTCTTCACAAAAGTTAAATTTTTTTTTAATTAACTGAGACGGTTATCAGAAATGTCCATTAAAAAATATATAAATATTTAAATATTTTTTTTACAAATTTATTTAAAATTTTGAATAATTGTGTAGCTCTCAACAACAATTGTTTTACGCATTCATAAACATATTAAATGCGGTTTAAGATATATTAAACTTTTTATTTATTATTCAATACTTCTCGTTTTTAAGTAACTAGTGGACGACACTTTACGACTTTTTATATCAGATTGTAAGTCATTCATCTAATAAAATGTAGTAATATTTTTTAAAATAATATTTTTAAAGATTAGTTGCTAAATAATTAATATATAAATTATTTTTAAATAGGTTCAAATTTAAAGTGATGTAAAAAATTATTTTTTAGTTAGTTCTTATATAACTAAAGTAAAAATATTTGAAAAATACGATTTTAGAGAGAATAGTGGTGAAATAAAATAAAATAAAAATCTTTAAATAAAGTTTTTGTTTGTGTTTTTGACTATGCCATTAACAAATACTAATCTCATTCTAGTTAACTATGTTATATACAAACATCTTAAGCTTCATTTAGTTAACTATGTTATACACAAATATCTTAAGCTTCATTTTATATTTGTATTTTTGTTAACTCATTTATTTTTGTATAACTTTAATAAGCATTGTATTTGCTCTGTTTATAGATTCAACAAATGGGTTAACAAATACAAATATCTACTTTCTAGATCCCTTATTGTTAACCAATACAAAACATTTGTTTTATATAATTGGTTTATCAAACAGTGTAACAAGTGGTTTCTAAATTTTTACGAGAATGTACAATAATTTGTTAATATCATAAAATTTTAATTTTAATTTTTCTTTGCAGCAAAACATTTGGTTCATGATACACCTAAATAATATCAATACCCATATAATATTTTTCAATTTTTGAATTAGATCACATCATCCATCGTGTCTATCATTTCTCTATCTTCTATTTCTTTCTTGTTCTCAGTGTAGACACTCTTTGGAACGTCTACTAACTATTTTTCTATGTTTAAATTTACTAGACCTTTTCTATCCCTTAATTTAACATTCGTTAGAAAGAGGATTACTAGGAATTAACACACATAACTTATTCATATATTTAAACTTTAATAGAGTTCTACCAAACAAATAAGTAAGCGGTGAGAAAATTTAAATAAATATGACTCAGTGAAAAAAATAAATAAAAGAAATAATACAGTGAAGAAAGTCAAAAGACTCAAAACTGTGCACAGCCGGACGTATGTGACACTGACACAACTGCTTAGCTTTTAAAAAAAATGGTCTAAACTGGTTAGCTATTGCTTTTGCTTTGGTCACTTGTTTTCAGCCTTTAACAGCGGGGTTCGATATAAACTGAATTCCAAGTTCGTTGTTGGGCTTGGGTCATTTCAAGTTTTCTTTCATAGTTCTCTCAAGCAATTTTAATCTCACAAAACAAAAAATCTGGAAAGCAATTTTACGCCACACTCACCGGGCTTAACATCTGATACCAACAGTTCTTAATTATAGCATTCTGTTGAGTTACTTGTCAGACCAACCCAAATCATTCACCAAAAGGTTGAAAATGAAACCACCAGGGTTATTCACTGTTTTAGCACATTAATGAACAAAATCGCCATCAACACATATATAGATATATAGAAGAGAGAGAGGACTTTTTTTTTTTCCCCTATTAAACAAAACTTACAAAGTCTAAAAACATAACACATTTAGACTAACATATAGGCCAAGAGACTTTAAGAGCATCAAGCCTTAGAAGAGGCTCTAAAAAAGAAGTGAAAACTTTGTCAAAACAATGAAAAGACATCTCAACTTCATCACATAATTTAGCAATTCAATTAGTATATTAGTTAGCTTTCTTAAAAATATAATTAAATTTAATAAAACTGATATTTCTAAGGAGACTCCTAATTTCTTTAATAACAAAATATAAATGATGATCACTGTTCTGAATATTAACAACTAAAGAGAAGATACTCTTACAATCACAATCAATTCAAAATAACATGAACATGATATAATTAAAAACAACCAGCTCAAGACTCTAAATAAAATTCTAAAGGTCAACCTCAAGGAAAGTACAAAAATGGAAAGACTTATAGAAACTAGTTATGAATTCGCCTCTGTAATTATGGATAAATCTCCAATAATTAGCTTTTCTCAAAGCATGAAAGAAAGAATCATCACTATTTAGTTTAAACTGTTTTTCCGAAGGAAGTTATCATCTGATTTGACCCTAAAGTTGTAGCCTACAATCATTAACAGTTATAATATCCCTGTCATAAGAATGCATATACTCAGACTCAAATACAATCTTATTCAACAAACTATCATTGTTTCAAGAGAAAACCTTTTCATTTAATTTGATTTTGAGATCCACATGTAAATTTTATGGAGAAATTTAAATTGGGTACGGTTTAAGAAACTGCATTATTTGGTTTCGCTTACTCACACCTGTTATGATCATTTTATTTGGAAAGCAAATTTGCATTTCAGCTGCGTATGTTCATGTATGGTTATGAAAGAAAACCTTGATGCTGAGTAGATACGACCCTCTCTAGTCTTTACATGATCAAGCGGAACCTTCTTTCCGTACAAAATCCAACTAGGACAATGATCCTTGCATAAGCAGTGAACAACATTCGTGATTAGACATATACTACTGATATCATGTTAAAAACTAAGCCTAATTAACTTTTAAAGATCACTCGTTAGAAGAGAAATACTAAATCTTATAAAAATATTATTGTCATATCCCTAATCAATATATCTGAACATATAATAATAAAAGAATAATCACATTTGTCAAAATTCGACAAATATGATTTGATGTATACATATAGCTCCCATTATTCAGCAAGTACTTCCTTCTTTCAAAATAATTATCGCTTAAGGCTTACACAAAGGTTATATAATATATAAGAAACAAAGGTCCCATCTAATTAATCTTTGCTCCAAAGAGACATGCACGGCACAGCAGAAAATGACAAGCTCAAATGAGAAACTGCAAACCACAAACATTCTCAACTCTGAATTAAGGATCAAAAGTCGTCATCTTCACGATCCATTAACTTCCACGAACCATCTGGTTGTTGAACCATACCCTTATTCTTCTCAATCCTCCATGACACTGGAACAAGTAATTCATCTTTCAGAGCATCTAAACTCTTGTTCACAAGTGCAATATCACGATTAACCTCTAGTTTGAATCCTCCTTTGCTCCCTTGCGTTCCAGCTACTCCATGCAAATAAGCCTCCAAGTTATGCCAACTAGAAGGATTCCCAGGACTCTTCAAGAACATAGATTTTCGGGTATCAATTTTCAACTCTTCACCCACATCTGAATACCCAACAAGGGGATAGTTTGGAACAATATCTAACTCGTTTCGAATGCGTATTGTTGTCAGATCTTTGTAACCAGAAAAAACCTTCTGAAAATTGATGTCACCAACTCTTGGGCTGGCAAATACAATGGCGGTGACTGGAGAAGTCTTATTGAAAGATGGATCACTTGCCATGTTGTATCCATTTGCGACAATGTCTACCGCATTAAGGGTTGCTATTGCAGCTCCTAAACTGTGACCAGTTATAGTTATGCTTATTTCTTCATTCTTATATATCTCTACCAGCCTTCTCACCTCACTTAGGACCTGCACATTATGTTAATTAATTATCAACACTAAGATATAACAATGTTATAATAATGTCAACAATTTGAAGCTAAATTAATAATGTTATCATCATGACTTGACTTTTATTTCACTGGAGTTGGCATTGTTTAATCTTTCAGGGATCGGGAACATTCCTTTTTTTTTTAATTATTAAAAAATATATCTCTAAAATCTCCCTATTTTCTAAATAGCAAAATTCATCACTCTTTAAAAATAATTTAAAAAAATATGTTAACCACTTTCACAAATTAAAATTTTAAAAATTTTAAGAGCTCAACTCACAATAGCTTTATAAATCTTTCTTATTTCTTTTTCTTTATAAAGGTTGTTAAAATGAGTTGAGTTAGCCTATTCTTTTCTGCTAAAAGTATGCTTAAAAATAGATTGGTCTGCTTCACTATATTTAAAAAATAGACTAAATTTTGCTTAACCTATTTAAGAAGTGGGTTGACAAGCAAACAAGTCAGCTTGCAAAAACCAAAAATAAAAAAAATAAAAAAAAAGTTAGAGAACCAACTCACGTAAAATTTTAACAAAAAATAATAAAAAAATTTATATTAATAAAAAATAATAATATTTTTATATTAAAAATTTAATAATTAATTATTTTAAATTTTTAAAAATTTAAAATAGGCTCAAGAGGTTAACTTGCTTTAACCCGTCATTAGCTTATATTTTGACAAGTTAAAACAAGGTCAATAAGTGGAATTAAAATATTCAGCTCAACTCACTATTTTTAGTAGATTAAACTAGCTAATCCATTGAGTCAAGTCTAATTTACGATTCCTACTTATGCTAATAAAGTTGATCCCTTCCACCAGCCTAAGTATCTTTCTCACACTTCTATTTTCGTTCTCTTTTTTTTTTCCTTTCTATTAATATCAAAACTTTCTATTACTTTGATTATTTCTTTTTCTGTTTATTGGTATTTTTTTATTTGAATGTAAAATGTTTAGTTAACACAACATAAAAATTTAAGTTTCAACTAAATAAATAATTAATTTTGATTTATAAAAAAAAACTCGTTAAAAAGAAAAATTTAAATTTTAGATATACAAATTTCAGTTTAAACATAAAAATAAATCAATTTTAATTTATAAAAAAAGATTTCAAATTTTAAATTTGTAGTTGTAATTTAGAGAATAATTATAAAAATTGCAATGACACTTGAATAACGATTATAAACCGATTTCTAAGTGCATCAACTTTTAGAATAATTTCAACAACTTTATAAAAAAAAATACAAAAATACTATCTAATATATATTTTTTAAGTTGTCGTCGGTCTATCGTTTTAGCTATTAATTTTTTCGCTAATAATATGTTATTTTTTTAATCAAAAGAACAGTAAAGAAAACATATAAAAAGGATGGGTAAGATGATTTCACATTTACGAAAAGGGTGACAAGGTTATATTACTTCCTATTATTTACAATATCAAGTACTTGAAATAACTAAACTTGACGAGCATGTCCATGTGCAAATTATGACACAAGTAGCTTCTTTTTATCAAGTGAAATCACATAATTTCCTCAAGAATCAACCACGAATTTCCCTGAGAAAAAATTAGAAATGATTACAAGTATATATATATTTACCTGGTTTCGGGCACTAGTCTTGTTGAAGGGAGAACGTGGGTCTTCGGAGGTGTAAATGGAGTACCATCCCTGGTGCACTTTAGGACCAGTGTTGTTACCAAACACTTTGGGAGCAGAAACCATAATGAACTGAAGATCATTAACCCACTCCAAGGTCTGCACAGTGCCTCTCCATGCAATCACAATGTCCCTTCTCCCTAACACAGATTTCCCTTCATCAGTGGCCACAGCAACATACCCTATCCAATTTGATTCCCTACTCCAAGCCTCCCTAGAAAGCGACTTTATAATAAACGCTTCAGGGACATCGATTTCTGATGTTGCATACAGGAACTTGGTCACAGAATACTTAAAAGGGTTGCCATTTTCCAAACCAACTTTGGAGAAGAAATCCCTCTTGGCATACGTGCTACTTCCAGCATACTTGGATGCTTTTTCGGTGTTGAAAGCATCATATGCAGCTTGAGCCATTTCCCCATAATGTATCAAGTACTTGCGCAGGTCGATGTCAAGAGGGTCTAATAGACCCTTCCAATGATTTTCGCCGCTGAGTTGTCGCCATTTTTTCGCTATCTTGTTATCCATCTTCTTTTTCATACCGACCCACCTTATGATCAACGCTGTTATTGCCTGTTTTATAGACGGAGCCAGAGAGCACTTCACCTCCATATAAATGATGATGTGACTTTGTAAGGATGTAAACTTGTATAAAATATGTTAATTAATGTACTATTATAAAGTATATAAAGGATATATAGATATGTTTACATGGAATATATTCCTGACTCCTTGTATTTTTTTTTTCTAACTGTTAAAATTAAAATTAATAAAGATTCGATCTCTGATCTTTTTAGCTATTGATATTTATTTAAGGAAGTATAGAATGAGATTAAAAAATAAGGAGACAAATTTTGAATCCTATTCAATATTGTCCATCCAGCTGGCGTACGTTTAATTAGCCCTGATCATGTTGTATAAAGAATTTAAGGGTTTTTCAATGAGTATTTGTAAATTAATCACTCGTGAAATCTTTTAAATAAACGTAACAAATGATAATTTTGTGATTATTATAAACGAATTTAATAAAATTTTATATATAATTTGTAATAATTTATTATTAAATAAGAGTATTTTAAAAAAAATTAATAAAAATAATTTTAAAAATAATTTTCTTATTTACCATGCTTAGTATTTTGTTTTACATTATGTATTTATTTATTTTATTTAATATTAAATCTTTGAATTTTTTTAATGATTTTTTAATATAATAGAATATATATTTTTAAAATTTACTAAATTTAAAAATAATTATATAATATATTTTAAATTATTTATTTTTTAAAATTTAATGTGAAGAGGAAAATTTCTAGTTAGTATATGTATACATACCTACCTATATTATAAAGTCAAATTATATTTCTTCTCCCCGTAAACTATGGCATATATAGTGTCCAAGAAATAGTATTCTTTTAAGCAACAGCGTATCGTCTTATCCAAACGCTTAATCATTAATTGAATACTGAAGGGTTGCAAAGCATTCTAAAATTGGCGGTGGCTTTACCACCCAAGCAAATAAAAGAAAAATTAATGAAGAATAAAGTAGCAGCAGTCAGTATTGAGAATAACTGAATAACACTAAAAAAATGTAAATTTTAATTAATTTTCGCAATTTCAAGGCCACAAGCAAAGGTTCTACCCCGTTCAAGATCTAAGTACGTGGAGGAATGGGTGTGAAGTCATGTTAGGTACTTCATATCTCCTTGCCTTACAAGCTTCGTCTGTTGCTGCAAGGTAGATAGCCTTTGGTCCCACAGAAAACTTTTGTGTTTACGAACAAACAATAATCTTTTTCAAGATTTGAATAAGTATCATGTCACAGTCTACACTCTTCAGGCGAAACACTCGAGTTTTTTTTTTTGGGTTACACTACTGTTGAGTGTTTGCAAATAATATTCGATTAAACATATGAAATTATAAGAAAATAATTAGGCTACCTTTTTATTTGTCTTTTATCTTTGTGTAATTAATTAATAATTCCAGTTTGTTTGAGTTACAACAATCTTCTCTCTTCTTGCGTCTTTAGAGTAATAATTAGTTCCATTCTGTAAGTATATAACCTAAACAAGCCACATAAAATCCCAAAAAAAAAAAAAAAAGGCAACAAAAGTGCATAAAAGTTAAAAAAAGAAAACGACAAAGCAACTACAATACATGCTTCTTTATCATAAACAATTAAATATTAACTCATACTATAAACCAAAAGATAAGAATCGTGTGTATGATACCGTATGAACAATTGAATATTAACTCATCTACTATTAGAAATATAAATTGACCCTGTCTTGTATGTGTCGTGTGTGGCATAATTAAGTTATATGAGTGTAGCATAATTAATCTTATGGTCCTGGCTGCACTTGGAAATTTTGTCCTCGGGTATATTATATTAGCCTTCTAAGTTACCAAACCCAGCACGCTGAGATAGTAGTATTGTTTTTGCGATGCTTGCAAGTCGAAGAAGAGAGGTATTTGTTACTCATTGGTTAGATGCTTTGCGTGACTTGTCAAAACAAATTAAGCTCAAAAAGGGGTAAAGTTAAGAAAAAGAAAAGGAGTAGTTCGCCCCTGGCGGGGATTTCATACCTGGAGGAGACGTTTGGAACCATCAACATGTTGTAACTCTCAACACAATTTCAAAGGAATATATTAGTAGATTATTTTAATAATTCATTTAATGCTCGAACCTTTCATATCATGTTTGTTAATTATAAAATATAAAGGTAGTAGATGTAATTGTAAATATAATTAAAAAAATTCTTTTTTATTTTTATATAAATAAAAAAATAATTACTAAAATAAAGGTTACATACTCTAATTTTTTTATATTCTTATAGTAATTAGAAAAGAAATTTTTTTCTCAACTATCAGAGAAAAACTAAAGGAAGAAAGAAAAGACAATAAATATTATAGTAAATCTAATATCATAGACAATGTTCAGATATGTTTGCAAAACTTATAAAAAAATCAATGTATTTGTGCATAATATATTATATTTGATACACCACAATAAAATGGTGTAAATGAAAGGAAAAATTACACTCTTATGAAAATTATTAAGAGTATGTTGAGTTACAGTTATGTTATTAAAGTTTTACTTGTATTTTTAGTGTTCTTTAATAGAAAAAGTAGACTTAGGAAATGTAAATAACATAGAAATCTCATTTTGGTTAAATATCACAAATTTATTAATTTTTGGTTAATTTACACTGATTTACATAGATATAGGTTGTAATTTTGATCATTTGAATAATTTTACAGAAATCTACATACTTATTCTATGGATTTTTGGCCTTGGAGAAAATTTGAAGTGAAAGTGATCACTTTCAGAAGTGATAGTGATCACTAAAGCAAGTTATATCCAAAGGGAAGACCGAAGTGACCAAAGTGGCCACTACAGAGAGGAAAGAAAATTCTAGAAGCTGGGCATAGCTACTATCACATGCGATAGTAGTTACTCCAGTCAGGACAACACTAATAATGGTTACTATCGTTTACGATAGTAACTACTATGAAGGTATCAACTTTTCTATATATAGATTTTTACCATTTAGGAGTTAGAAACTTTTTGCAGAGCCTTTTCTTTAAGATATTTTAGGGTTATAAGATACTTTTAGGAGAGCTTATGGTGGCCTTGGGTGACAGTCAAGGATCCAACCTAGGGTTTGAATTCTATTTCTTCTTCACTTTTTTTTTTCATCTTGATGTTATTTATTTCTCTTTACTTTTATTTTGTAACTGTGAGACCCATCTCTATGGAGGGCTAAATCTTTTGTAATCTCTAGTGAGTTTACTTAGATTCTTGAATTATTGGATTTTGAATGTTAATATAATTTCTTCTTTTTTTTTCATGAATATCTTCCTCCTAATCTCTTGAATTAAATTAATAGTTGAATGAGGGGAACATTGCTTAATTAACCCTAATTCATTTTAATGAGATTCTAAACTTGAATTGCTTAATTCTGGATTTATTTCTAAGGTTGCATAATCTTAGGATGAGAGATTGGAGTCCATTGAATTGCTTAATTCGTATGGAAACATAAGGTTGATTTTTGTTTGTTAAATTAACTTAATTTTAGGAGGAGAGGAAGAATATTAAATCTTGAGAGGAATAGAGATAGAGTCTACATGAATGAACTAAGGGTTACTACATTTTATTGATTGGACTTTATAATTTTGTTTCTTGCTCTTTGTATTGAACTTGAAATCACAAACCCCTCTTCTTTTTACTTGTTTTCTAAATACACTGCACACCAAATGTTTGATATTTGGTCACACAATCAATGATTCATGAGAGACAACTTAGGTTAGTACCCTAGTAGTATTACATTAATTTTTGTTTATATTTTGATGAGGATTAGCGACAAATCTTACAATCATCACTATTTTAAAGACCATTACATATATATATATATGCTTAATAAGATTTCTAGTAAGACAGTTTCAAAGACTTCTTATGAACTATGGATAGGAAACAAACCCAATGTAAGACATTTTCATATCTAGGATTGTCCAACAGAAGTAAGGGTGTACAATTTATATGAAAATAAGCTTGATATTTGAACCATTAGTTATTATTTCATTAGCTATCCTAAGAAATTAAAAGAGTACCATTTCTATTGTCCTAACCATAGTATGAGAATAGTTAAGTCTAGAAATGCTAAATTCATTAAGAATGGTTAGTTTAGTAGAAGTAATGAAACACGTAAGGTGAAAATTAAAGAGACATACATGAAAACTTTGTATCACAACCACATAACATACAAAAACAAATTAATGTTCCAAACCCACAAGAACAATGTATAGATAAAGAACCAACTGACAGTGTACAAGTTACAAATGAGCAAGGGATAGATAAATCACAAGAGATGACATTAAAGAGGCCTAAAAGGTAGAAAAGACCTGTTATTTCATATGATTATGTGATTTACTCACTTGAACATGAATGTGACTTGAGTATTTTTATAAGGATTTAGTCTCATTTATGTAAGTCATGGAATGTAACAATTCTGAAAAATGTTGAAATTTATGAAAGAAAAGTTAAGATCAATGGGTGACAACAAGGTGTGGGAATAGCCAAGTTTCCTGAAGGTTTAAAACGAGTTAGTTGTAAATAGGTCTTCAAGACCAAACAAGAATCAAAAGGTAACATTGAAGGTACAATGATAGACTTGTTGCTAAATGGTACACTAAAAAGGATGGTATCAACTATAAAGAGATCTTCTCTCCAATTTCAAATAAGGACTCTTTAAGAATTGTTATGTTTTTGGTGACTCATTATGACTTAGAGATTCACCAAATAGATGTAAAGACAGTCTTTCTAAATGATGACTTGGAAGAAAAAGTTTATATAGATCAATCAGATGATTTCTTGACCACAAGAAAAGAGACTTTGGTATGTAAGTTAAAAAAGTCAATATATGATTTGAAACAAACTTTCAGATAATGGTATCTTAAGTTCAATGATATCGTTACGTCATATGATTTTATAAAAAACTTTGTTGACCGGTGTACCTATATCAAGGCTTATAGAAG